CTTTCTTGTTTCTTGAGAAAGGCTTGTATTGCTATAGACTTTCCTCTCAGGACTGCCTTTGCTGTATCCCAAAGATTTTGAACAGTTGTGTTTTCAATTTCATGGGTTTCCATGAATTTTTTTAATTCTTCTTTAATTTCCTGGTTGCCCCATTCATTCTTAAGTAGGATACCCCTTAGCCTCCATGTATTTGAGTTCTTTCTGACTTTCCTCTTGTGATTGAGTTCTAGTTTCAAAGCATTGTGGTCTGAAAATATTCAGGGAATGATTGCAATCTTTTGGTACCAGTTGAGACCTGATTTGTGACCTAGGATGTGATCTATTTTGGAGAATGTTCCATGGGCACGAGAGATGAATGTGTATTCTGTTGCTTTGGGATGGAATGTTCTGAATATATCTGTGAAGTCCACTTGGTCCAGTGTGTCATTTAAAGTCTTTATTTCCTTGTCAATCTTTTGCTTAGATGATGTGTCCATTTCAGTCAGGGGGTGTTAAAGTCTCCCACTATTATTGTATTTTTGTCAATGTGTTTCTTTGCTCTTGTTATTAATTGCCTTATATAACTGGCCACTCCCATGTTAGGGGCAAAGATATTTACAATTGTTAGATCTTGTTGGATAGACCCTTTAAGTAGGATATAGTGTCCTTCCTCATCTCCTATTACAGTCTTTGGTGTAAAATCTAATTTGTCTGATATAAGGATTGCCACCCCAGCTTTCTTTTGGTGTCCATTAGCATGGTAAATGGTTTTCCAATCCTTCACTTTCAATCTGGGGGTGTCTTTGGGTCTAAAATGAGCCTCTTGCAGACAGCATATTGATGGTTCTTGTTTTTTTATACAATCTGATATCCTGTATCTTTTGATTGGGGCATTGAGCCCATTTATATTCAGGGTACCTATTGAAAGATATGAATTTAGTGCCATTGTATTGCTGTAAAATGACTGTAACTGTATATTGTCTCTGTTCCTTTCTGGTCTATGTTGCTTTTAGGCTCTCTCTTTGCTTAGAGGACCCCTTTCAATATTTCTTGGAGGGCTGGTTTCGTGTTTACAAATTCCTTTAGTTTTTGTTTGTCCTGGAAGCTTTTTATCTCTCCTTCTATTTTCAATGAGAGCCTAGCTGGATATAGTATTCTTGGCTGCATATTTTTCTCATTTAGTGCTCTGAATATATCATGCCAGTCCTTTCTGTCCTGCCAGTTCTCTGTGGATAGATCTGTTGCCAATCTAATGTTTCTACCATTGTAGGTCACAGATCTCTTCTCCCAAGCCGCTTTCAGGATTTTCTCTTTGTCTCTGAGACTGTAAGTTTTACTACTACATGTTGGGATGTTGACCTATTTTTATTGATTTTGAGAGGGGTTCTCTGTGCCTCCTGGATTTTGATGCCTGTTTCCTTCCTCACATTAGGGAAGTTCTCTGCTATTATTTGCTCCAATATGCCTTCTGCCCCTCTCTCTCTTTCTTCTTCTTCTGGGATCCCAATTATTCTAATGTTGTTTCGTCTTATCGTATCACTTATCTCTCAAATTCTGCCCTCGTGATCCAGTATTTCTTTATCTCTTTTTCTCAGCTTCTTTATTTTCCATCATTTGGTCTTCTCTATCACTAATTCTCTCTTCTGCCTCATTTATCCTAGCAGTCAGAGCCTCCATTTTTTATTGTACCTCATTAATAGCCTTTTGATTTCAACTTGGTTAGATTTTAGTTCTTTTATTTCTCCAGAAAGCATTTCTCTAATAACTTCCATGCTTTTTTCAAGCCCAGCTAGTATCTTTAAAATCATCATTCTAAACTCTAGTTCCAACATCATATTAATGTCCATATTGAGTAGGTCCCTGGCAGTCGGTACTGCCTCTTGTTCTTTTTGTTGAGGTGATTTTTTCCATCTTGTCATTTTGTCCAGAGGAGAATAGATGAATGAGAGAACAAAATGCTAACAAGGTAACAACGTCCCCAGAAAATATACTCTGAACAAATCAGAAAAGATCTGCAACGAGGGAAAAGAAAGGGAAAGAAAGAAAAAAGAAAAAGACAAAAAAAAAAGATAAAGATAAAGATATAGAAAAAAACAAACAAAAACAGAATAAAACAAAAAAAAACAGAATATGATCAAATATGATCAGGCTGGTGCATAGATCAGTGCCAAACACCAATTTTGCATGTATTTTGGTCTGTTATAAGAAACTGCCTCCCAAAATTTTAAAGAAAGAAAAACATATATGTACAAAAATAAGGGTTAATACGATCAAGGGAGGAATATGACCTTAAAGATGTAAATTATAAAGGATTTTATAAAAGGAATTGATAAGAAGTTGGTTGAAAAAAGAAAGAAGAGGATTAAAAAAAAAGGAAAGAATGTGATCAGGCAGGAGACTAGAACAAAGCCATACACTAGAGATTTGGGGTATATTTTGATCTGTTAGAAGAAACTGTATCTCAAAATTTTAGAGAGAGAACAACTTATATATATATGCCAAAAATAAGTGTACCTACTATGAAGGGATAGAATATGACTCTAAAAATGAAAAATAAAAAATGTTTTTTAAAAAAGGGATTGATAAGATGTTGGTTGAAAAAGGGAAAAAGAAAAATTCAAAACAAAACAAAACAAAACAAAAGACATTTTAAAAAAAAATAACTTTGCAAGACTAAAGAATCATGGTAAAAAAGCCATGAATGCTTTGTGCAGTATTCTCCTAGCGCTGGAGTTCTGACGTTCTCATTGATCACTAAACTTGGTCTTGGCTGGCTGTTCTTACTGATCATCTGGGGGAGGGGCCTGTTGCCATGGTTTGCAAGTGTCTTTGCGGGAGGCGGAATTCCCCCACCTTTACGGGCTAAGTAATCCGCTCGGGTTTGCTCTCAGGAGCTTTTGTTCCCTGTAAGCCCGCAGCAGAGCCTTGAAGGAGGAGAGTGAAAATGGCAGCCTCCCAATCTCTGTCCGGAGAAGCCAAGAACTTGGGGTCCCATTCCTCAGTGAGCCCCCAGAGAAAAGCAATCACTCCTGTCTCCCCGGTCTCTGGCCGCACTCAGTGCTCACCCGGCCTGTGACCCAGAGTTTCTATCTCTGGCACCCGACTCGGTGGAGAGTCTCCAAACCCAGCAGATCCCTGCAGTGCGCTCCCGCACCGCTCCTCCTAGGGGAGGAAGGGGAGTCTCCCCAGATCTGCCGCTTGTTGGGTCCCTGCTAGAGAGCAGTGGCCCAACTGGGCTGCGGGTCATGGTTTATGGCAACCCCAAGTTGAGAGCCCACTCCTCGGCTCTGCCTCTGCAGCCGGCTTCCCCGCTCCGACACCTGGGAGCTCTGCCGCACTCAGGCACCCCCGGTCTTCCTGTGACCCCGAGGGTCCTAAGACCACACTGTCCCGCAAGGATTCCACCCCCTGCTTAGCCACTGGAGCAATGTCCCTCAGCGGAGCCAACTTCTAAAATTTCCGATTTTGTGCTCCGTGGCTTTATCACTTGCCAGAAGCGGCTGATGGAGGCCCCTTCCCCCGCCATCTATCCTCCCAAATATCACCTTGGATTCACTTCTCCGCATGTCCTACCTTCCAGAAAGTGGTCGCTTTTCTGTTCAGAGAGTTGTTGCTATTCTTTTCTTCAATTTCTTGTTGAGTTCGTAGGTGTTCAGAATGGTTTGATCCCTATCCAGCTGAATTCCGGGGACCAGACGAAATCCAGGTCTCCTACTCCTCTGCCATCTTGCTCCTCCCCACCCAGAGAAGTCAGTGTTTTCCTGTAAGTGGGACCAGAGAAATAGGAAGGCAACTGATAATACTGTGTGAGGAAGACAATTGCGTTTGTTTGTTTATAGAGAAACAGAAATGACAGCACAATGGAATTCTTAGAGGAATGATCCAGGAGAGAAGTAAGCATTGCTGGAATGACTTCCTTGAGTAGACAGAGAAGGTGAAATCTCCTTCACAAGAAATGGGATTGACTTTAAGAAAGTGTCCAGGTAGGGCAAGAGTGTGGGTACAGGTGATAGGTGGGTTTCTGATTGTTTCTCTCCTCTCAGTGAAGTAGGAAGATGTGGGAAGAGGTGGAGGAGGTTTGCAAGGATAGATTATGAAATCCATACACAAGGTATGGAGAGGGAATGGTCTACAGCAGGAGTCAACAAACAAGGGCACTCGGGCCAAATATGGTCCCCCAAAGCTAAGAATGGTTTTTACATTTCTAAATGATAGGGGGGGAAAACAAAAAGAAAATAAAAGTAATATTTTGTAGTATGTGAAAATATTTGAAATTTAAACTGCAGTTGCTACACATAAAGTTTTATTGGAACACAGTCACACTTACTCATTCCTGTGTTGTCCATGGCTGATTCCAGAAGATAGCAGCAAAGTTGAGTAATTACAGCAGAGACCACATGGCCCACAAAGACTAAAATATTCACCATCTGTTTTTTTACAGCAAAAGTTTGCCTACTAATATGATTGCTTGGCACAATTAAGCATTTGCTGAGGATTGTGATCTGAACTTGAAATGAGACACATCACCACAGTTGTATGTTTTTCCTCTGTAATGTAGCAGTAACCAGGCCACTAAGTAGGTCACAGTTTGGTTGTTGATTGAATTAAATGAGATTATACATGTGGAGTGTCTAGCACAAAGCGTGTACTTATTCAACATGAAACCACCTGCTATCATGACTTTCTCCTGGAACAAACGTGTGGATGATGTCAAGCCCAGAGATTACAGTGGGATTCTAGGCAGAAGGGCTGCCTCCTGAACCACAGCTCTCAAACAAACCTCTCCTTATCAACTGGGCTTTTTGCATCCACATCCCCCAGGACCAATTTTCTGTGGTCCCTTGTGTAACTGGTCAACTTTTCTCCTACACCAACCCCAACTCAAAACTGTTGTGACCAAATGCTCCTAATCCTTGTTGGTAGGCAAAGCATCCATGCATTCCAGAGCTGAAAGGTCAGGACCTTGCAAGAATCATTCTGGAAAAGCTCTCTCCACCCTGACCCTAACCCACCCCAAGGCAGGTATTCTCTCACCAATGCAGCTTCATAAAACAAACATGAGAAAGAGTTGGGAGGAGGGGACAGTTGTTAGTGTAACTGTAATTTCTTATGAATGAGAATTGCCATTGCCTTTTTAAGACATTTAGAAATTTTAATCTAGTGGCAAAAAATTTTTCATTATTTTCTTAAATTTAATTAATTTACTAAACTCCTCATGGTTCGTTGGATTCAATCCTGTATCTATGATCTTTCTGGGTCCATTACACTCATGGGATTCAACTTCATCTCTTCTGACTCATAAAAATCTCATCAAAATGGAAATAAAATGCAATTTTGAACTTTCTAATGAAGGCACCTGTCCTGGCTTCTCAGCACTCTAAAATTAATGGCCTCAGTCCTGCACCCTCTTTGTTGAGAACTCTTTGGTTCTGTGTGGACTAGAGGGGAGAAGATGCCATTATCGTGAAGGTTCCACTCCACCTCCATCATTCCACTTGGAGCATCACCCAGGAGGGACACTCAGGAGAGGGGTGTGCCTGTCCACAAAGACACTGGCCAGTTACAGCTGGCTCCCGGGGAGATATTTTTGTAATAAAAGGGAAAGCACTGTCCCAATTAAGGAAAAGTATAAAACCATTGCTGAATTGGCACCTGCACACATGTGGGTATAACGTGCCACCCCGCTGAGGCTGCACCTCACCCACCCCTGCTTGTGTTCCACTCACACACCACACACCTCCCTAGAACCATCCACCTCTGCTTGCACTCCACCCACACAGCCTGCACCTTCCCTATACTCACTGAGCATCTGTCCAGGCCTCAGAGACTTTCAACTCTGGGGTGAAAGTATGACCATCTCCACTTTTCAGTGAGAGAGTTGTGCACTAAAAAAAAACATTTTGGCACCTGTCCACACTCACACAGCTAGCAAAGGATAGAGTGGGGTCAGCTGTGATGATGGCCAGCGGCAAGCATCATGGTAAGCACCTGCTCTGGGCCAGGCTTCCTGCTAAGTGTCATCCAGACATGATCTTATTCAGTTTCCACAGCTACTCAGAGGTGGGCATGGCCATCAGCTCCACTTTATAGATGAGCATAGCATATAACATGGATTAGCTTCCCAAGGCAACGGAGCTAGAAAGTGGCTGATTGTCCAATCCTGAAGACTATGGGCTCCCTGCCCTGGCAGCCTCCCATTGCTCCTCCCACACCTGCCCCTGGAGACATCCCCAAGACTAACTTGTGAAATGGACTCTCTTCTCTTGGGATATCCAAAATTAGTGTTATTTTGATATTGACATTTTATTTAACACAGGCCCCTTGGAGAGTGTACAAACTTCTAGCCAAGGAGGAGAGGTTGATGGCATGTCCAAGACTGGCGGAATGTTCAGCCTTTCCAAACTGTGCTTCCCAGCCTGAATGTCTGAATCTTGGATCCTGCCACCATTCCCTGATGTTGAGAGAAGAGAGAAGGTCCTTCCAGCTAATCCCAATGACTCATGTCCCCACTGGTAGCCCATTGGGCTTCTCATAGTATTCCACTCCCCACTTTTTCTGGAAGGACTATGCTACCCTTCCCACTTTGAATTAGGTGAGGCTACAGGACATGCTCTGAACAATAAAAAATGAAATAAAATAATGTGTGTCACTTCTGGGCAGAAATGCTAAGAGGAAGTGCACAATTTATCACAGTTCTTTCCATCTGTCTCTGTGATAAAGGACGAGTCAAGATGGGGCTTCTGTTAGCCTGGGAAATTCTTGTGTAAGTAAAGCCACTGAGACATGGGAGGCTGTTTGTTGATGCAGCATAACCCAGCCACACATATACAACATGTACTCCAACAACCCCACACACATCCTCTTATAAACCCACACTAGGATAGGATCTGTTTCTCTACTCACAACTCTTTTAACACCAAATGTGTAGGTTTTCCACTCCAATCAGTTCTCAAATTCTCTGTAGATGCCAACTGGGTGTTTTATAATTTAATCCATTTCCAATGCTAACTACCTGAACTCAGCACCGACCCTGCACGTTAAGGTTCAGTTCTACAAGACTGTCCCATTTCAGGCACCAGTAGCAAGTTGTGGGTCCCAGGATACTCACACTTCTTTCTCACTTAGCTACAAATCAGGGGTTGTATGACTCCCATCCCTTTCAGATTCAATAATTTACTCTAACAGTTCATAGACCTCAGGGTTAACACTTTACTGACTATTACTAATGTATGATAAAGGATAGAAATGAACAGCCAAGTGAAGAGGTACATAGAGCAAGGTCCAGACAGATCCTGAGCACAGGAACTCCTGTCCCCTTAGAGTTTGGGATGTGGCACCCTCCTAGCACATGGATGCATTCACCAACCTAGAAGCTCTCCAAAGCCTTGTTGCTTAGGGTTTTTATGGAGGTTTCATTACATATGCACGATTGATCAAATCATTGCCCATCAGTGATTAATTCAATCTCCAACCCCTTTCCCCTCACTGTAAGTCAGACTGTGGGACTGAAAGCTCCAAGTCTCCAATCACATGGTTGGTCTTCTGTCCATCAGCCTCCTTTCTCCAATATCCCTTTGTTAGTATTAACTCAAGTGTGGTTGAAAGGGGTTTGTTATGAAAAACAAAAGATGCTCCTCTCACCCTTATCACTCAGGAATTTACAAGCATTTTAGGGGCTCTTGTGCCAGGAATGGGGGATAAAGACCAAATATATATTTCTTATTTTATCACAATACCACACTCATACACACACATTACTACTTCCCTTTCTCTCCACTGGGAAGGAATGTCTCTAAGCATCCTCAAATTCCTGATTCTGCCCTAGGCTGCAGGGAACAAAGATGAATAAGGCATGACACCTGCATTAACAAAACACACAATAGGGAGAAAGATATGTAATCATATCAGTGTACTTCAGCTCCTTCTATGAGGCAGAAACCATGGGGGGACTGTCTGCTTTCATGTTTTTAGAATCTTTTTTATTCAAATTGTATAGAACTACCTTATCTATATATTAATAGTAAAAGATATAACTCCACAATTCTGCCACTCATCCACTCTGCCATCTCTCTCTCCATTCTTTTCCTCTCCTTTCCCATCAAGGGCATGCTGTGTGCCAGGCACTGGGCATATGCAGATCCCATCCCTCAGGGAGCTCTCCATCCAGGGGCAATGCAATACAGCATGGTGGGTACCCACAAATGAAAAATGGGGTTGGGACAGTCCAGGCATAGGAACAGTAAAAGTGAAGGAATGTTAAAGGCAGTCTCCTCTGCATCTTAGGTATACAGCAGGGCATGTGGCTTGAAGGAAGGCCAGCAGGTGAAAAGGCCTGGCAGGGGCTACTACTCTCATGTGATTCACAGGAGTTATGCACCTTGGGGCTTTTAAAGAACTTTGCCTTGAGGCATCAGGGAACTAGTTCAGGGCTTTGAGCTGGACAGTTACATAATCAGGTTGCACTGGGAAAGATGATGGACCACTGTCAAGAGGGTGGCTGAGAGTTAAGACAGATGAGGAATGTGGAGTGCCACCTCAGAGCTCTGGCAGGGGAGAAGGCCAGCAAGGGGGCAGGCAACAACTGACAAATCAGAGCTGAGGAATGGGAGAGCTGCCTCCTTGCTGCTCTGTTTTCAAAGTTCTTCCACCCCGAACTCCCTCAGTCTTCAGGATGACAGACATTTTTTCTAATCCCAATTTGTGTCTAAGGAGCTAAGCCTAAAATGGTCTGAGGGTACATCTGGGGTGGCCCAGAGGGCAGCTGAGTCAAGGTTGTCCTCAGCCCCTTTGTGCCCACCACCTCCCTGACCAGAGAGTTGCCTCGGGAGCACAGTGATATCATTACTCCTCTATGCAGTGCACATTATGGACAAGGTGCTTGAGCACCCACAAGGAAATGAGGGAAGTAAACAAGAGGGTGTATTCCATCACAAGAACCTCTAAGAACACCAGTGCCAAGTGCCACTCTGGCTCAGACCCTTCACAACCAGCCCACCCCTCAGGGCAGGTACAGCTCACCCACAACATGGGAGCTCCAAGAGAAAAACATTTGTCTGGGTTTGCTTTCCTTTCTTCCAGTGTGTATCATCAGGGAAATGTAGATCAAAACCACCTCACACCCATTAGGATAGTAGCCTGGCTATTGTCAAAACAAAAACAAATATAGAAAATAACAAGTGTTGGTGAGGATATAGAGAAATTGGAGTCCTACTGGGAATGTAAAATGGTGCAGCTACTGTGGAAAACAGTATAGAGATTTCTCAAACAATTAAAAATAGAATTAATAGACTAGAATCCATCAACTCTACTTTTGAGTATGTCCAAGAGAATGGAATGCAGAGTCTTGAAGAGATATGTGCACACCCATGCTTATAGCAGCATTATGCACAATCGCCAAAGGGAACTAACTCAAGTGTCCAGTGACATATGAATGAAGAAAAAAATGTGGTGATTGCATATGATGGAATATTACTCAGCCATAAAAAGGAAGGAAATCCTG